ATGGCGGTATTGATCGATTGCGTACGTGTTTTTCGTGTTTTTACACGATCAAAACGTGATCGGACATGTGTTTGGTTAGGGGCTAGTGGACATGACGGACACATTTGTGCATCTGCAATCCCTGACGACGGTCGGTTCCCTCATGGTCTTGCCCATTTGGGAGTATGCAAGTGGGTTAGTTAGGCATAGGAAGTCCTAAAAACTCAGTTGAGTCATCTGACGGTGTTGAAAGCTTAGATATGAAATATCGCCGATATTAGCAAGAACCTATGAGTCATATTAAACTACCAGGGCGCATCACGATTTACAAGCTATCGTAGGCCATCACTTCGTCTTCCTCGTCTTTGATGTCTTCAAAGTAGACTTCTGGTCTAGTAATTAAGTAGTAAGTAATGGTAGAGTCATTAATTTACATCCATAATACTTGTTTTCGATACTTATTTGTTGTGTGATCTTGTGAACCCATTTGCTGTTATTGATCTGGGAGCTAACGATCCGCAGCTCCCAATCCACCCACGTGTTCTTTTGTTCTGCGGTTTTCAGTTTGCAAAGTGCGTGCAAACGATTGTGATGATTGCACAATGAAATAATTCTCGTTAATTTTCTATGATTATAGGCTGTAGAACACAAAAAGCTAATGTATTTGGAAACAAATGGGTGTGAATTCAAGAGCTACCTACGTTAAGGTCGGTTCGTTTTTTTTTCTTTATCGCTTTTAAGAGATCAAATATGTTTACTTATGTTGTTTACACTGGCTAGCTGAACTTGTTTAGAAGGGAGATAAGGGCGAGTGTAGAAAGCATTAGTTGGTCTGAACTGTTGAATTTGTTGACATGAATGACATTCCTACACATTACACTTACCGCATGTTGTTGGCATGCCATCAAAGGAAGGGGTTCATCATGAAGGTAGTAGGTGTCTAAGGTAAACGCAATTTGGTAGTGAAGCATGGCCCTCGTTGGTGAATCAATGAATCAGCCATACGACGATCATTCAACGAGGAGTGTTCCAAAACTGTTAAGCTTCGCATCTGATTTTTGTGGCTCCTTCAAAAAGCCACAAAAATCGGAAACTGAAGAAGTTAATGATGTTTCTTTTCAAGGGTGAAAGAAGCAGGTAGACGTAGAGGGTTTCAAGACGCAAGGAAGTCATGGATTGAAGTTGGCGAAATCTTGGGTTTGGGGGGTGCAAGTTGCTGTAAGTGGAGGGAAGGCGAGATCGAGTGATGAGAACAAGTGATGGAGATGACGATGAGAGTTATCAGTGGTAATGTGTTCAAGATCACTTCTAGGGTGAAGCATGCGGTTTGAAGTAACTGTAAGCAACTTCATTACCAACAGAGAGAATGAGGCATAGTGTGCAGGTGGGTGAAGTATGGAAAGAGGAGCGAATGGCTGAATTGAAGAACATGAAACTGCGTCTGCTGTGGAGAAACGATAAAAGAACCACAACGATAAACTATGGATTCTCGCGATAAGGGGTACTTTGGCAGCAACTTCAGACATGCGTCAAATTGTTGATACGGTAAAGCCGGTAAATGTCTTGGATGGTACTGGGTGAGTTACTGTTTGGATGAGAGATACGAGATCGTACAAGGTCACCACAAAAAGTGCTAATCAAGTTTATCAAGAGCTGACTCTAGTCATTCCTCACAGTTAAGCTGTCGTAAAGTCTTGGAGTTGTGAATCCGCTTCTAGCATTTAATGCGTATCGATTGATCCAGCATTTCTACTATTTCGCCGTTCCATAGCCCCTTCCATAACGATACCTATCCAATGTTGGTTACGGATTCCGCCTTTCCATAATTCCAGATCCTTTCAATCCGTCGTTTACGCTCCCACGTTTTCTTGGTTCCGGGATGCTGTGGATCGCTTCGTATTTATTGTTCCTTGCGAGTTTTACGATTTCTCTTTTTCACAACTCCACGGAGCGATTTTCCTCAGCTTTTATTAGGTTGCAAGGAAAGTTCTGGCCGTTTTGTCAGCTAACTTTCAAAAAGTTATAACTCATCTCAAAGTGAACATTTTTATTCAAACTAAGCCCCATTCGATTCCACACATTTTCGCCAACATGATACAAGTCTGTTTATCCCATTCTTATAAAAGTCCGGAGATCGGATTCCAAGATCTCGAGAAAGGCAGCCTCCACGTGACCTTGATT